AAACCAAGGGGGTCTGTTAAACCCCCTAATTGGTTTACAGCAGTTGCAAGTTTGAGGCCAGCCTGGGCTACAAAGTGAGCTCAAGCCCAGCCTAAACTGCATACTGAGACCCTATCTCAAAAAGACCAAAAAAAAAAAAAAAAAAAAGTACAGGCTACAATTATGAGAGAAATATGTTTGCCATTTTAGCTCCAAGAATAAAAGCACTTGCATGGTTTCTCTGCTAGCACCAGGAACGTGGCCTTAAATGAAGACTCATCTCTTGCTGTGGAACATGCTGTGCTAGCTCCAGATATCTAAGGATCTTAAATATCCACTTAGTCTAAAGGCCCAACTATTATCACACTGCAGTAATAGAAATGAGGCTGAGACCAAAGTTGGAAGAGAGCACTTGTGAGAATGAGCTTCTGGTCTCAGGGGACCCTCCCAGGGAGGGATGTACCTGAGGAATAAAGATGCCTCTAATTGAAAGTGTCGCCTTCATCCAGGAAACAACCCAGTCGGTTCCTACCGCTTGTCCTGATGTGATGGCTGCTCTACCTGGCTTGATCTAACTGTGAATAATGATGCCAGTTAAATGTCTCAGCATGCCGGGCATGGACTTCTATGAAAGATTGGCAAAGCTTTGTCCATCTGATGAAGGCCATAGAGAGGGGGACATGACAGCAATCAGAGTTTCACGGAAACTCTGATATCCAGGGATATTTACATTAGAAGGTTGGGTCATGAGAATTTCTTCTTTAATTTGTCAGTAAGCCATCACAAATCATAGTCACCAACTGCATCACCACCAACTTCCTGGGTACCAAGTGGCACAGCCCTTTTCAGCATTAGAGAAACTGCCAGTCTTGCTGAGATGACGAGCACTTTATTTCCAAACAAGAGCATACTACACAAAAAAATACTACACAGGAAAATCAGGTAGTTCATGTGAAGATCTTTTGGCAGGAGGTAATCTCAAACACAGAGTTACCTGGACAATTATATGCCTATATCACTGGGGGGGGGTGCACCCCTGTAATCCCAGCAGTCAGGAGGCTGAGGCAGGAGGATTGTTGTGAGTTTGAGGCCAGCCTGAGCTACAAAGTGAGCTCAAGGCCAGCCTGAACTGCATAGTGAGACCCTATCTCAAAAAGATTAAAACACACAAAAGCCTATATCTCTACTCTGAGTAACTAATTTAAAGATAATAATATGTGATGTATTAACCATTGTTACCTTCCTCTTATCTTGCTTTTACATTTTGGGTTTTTTCTCTTTAAAATTTAAAAAAAAGCACACAGAGTTGATGTCCATTTGCCTTGATTGCAAGCTCACCCTGTGTCATTTGCTGTTGTGCAACCGCCACCCTGCAGTACCATAAAGTAGCTTGGCACCTTTGCTGCCTCCAGCTTCCCTGCGGAACTTTCCCTAGGTGTCCACATGACTGCACCTCCCCAGAGAAGCCCTCTCTGACTTCCTGTGAAGGTGTGAGCTTTCCTTCCATCAACCCTGGCACAAAGCCTGCTCTTTTCTCATTATTTTCCCCCATCATTGGCTCTATTCTATGCCTACTTATTGTGTTCTTTATCTGCTTCCACTGAAATATAAATTCCTTGAGCAGAGACTGATTGGTTGGTTGGTTGCTTGGTTGATTTTTGGAGACAGGGTCTCCCTGTGGAGTCCAGGCTTGCCTTGAACTTGTGACTCTCCTGCCTTAGCCCCCTGAGCACTGGAATTACAGATATGTGCCATCATTCCTGGCTACAGCAGAGCTTTTTGTCTTTGTTTTTCACTGTTAAAACCTACGCTTTTTGATGAATTCCTAGCATACAGTAGCCATTCAGTAAATATGTGCTGGTGAATAGCTACATGAATGGATAGGTGGGTGGATAGGTGGATGGATGGTCACTGGAGTCATGAATTCTTACAGTGAGTTGGAATCTGACACAAAGATTACAGACCTAGAAGTACATAAAAAACAAACAGGTTCCTCAGTTCTCTGCTTGCTGGCAGCTATTGAAACATTGACTGTTCAGGCCAATTCTCCCACCCCAGTCTGAACATCTGCTTTCATCACACTGCTACGTAGTAGCTTCTGCACTTCTCCAGGACAGCTAGGCGGTAATGGTTCTTTGGAGAAACTGACTTGGTGAAAAGGGATGAGAGTGGTGCTGAGGATGTGTGCAAAAAGGGTCTTAGGGCTTCCTGTGAGCTCGGACATAGTATCTGGTCTCAAGGGCCAGCTCTGCATTCAGGTTAACATCCTAACTGTCCGTGGTCACTTTTGTACTTAAGAACTTTTCAAATTTGCCCATTCTGGCTTCCGTAGATGCTAGCTGCTACCCCTACTATCTGCTGTATTTATTAGGGATGTTGTGGCCAACATCTTCACTCGATGGGGAATTCCCAGTTGGTTCTGTTGGGCCCTACGTAGGTCAGAGGTTCCTGCATGACACCCTTTCTCATAAAATGCCCGACCCTCATTGCCTCTATCAGAGATGAGGTAGAATGTGGACTTACAGAAGTTTAGCACCGAAGATGGTGAGTGAGCCACAGGCAACGAGTAGGGGGACAGAGCGTGGCCATTGTGCAGAAACTGTGAGTGGCAGCTGGAGGTCCTCGTCACATAGCATCCTGTGCCCGCCTCCTTCCTTTCCCCCTTTCTTATTGATATACGTTTGTGACACATGATATATCCATCATGGAGAAAGTGATACATATGTGTGCGTACATACCTTCCCTGCTCCTCCCCTCCCTCTCATCCTTTTCATCCTCAAACCTGCCCTCCATCTCTGCACACTCTGTCTCTCTATTTCCTATCATCTATCTTCTATTCCACTTTTTATGTACACTTTGGGCTTCTCTAAGAGAAATCATGCAGTACTTAACATGCTGTGTCTCAATTTTCATCTCACTCAGTGTGATGGCCTCAAGGTAGTCTCCATTTTCCTACAAATAACTCAAAGTTACCCTTCCTTACGGCCAGTACTCCTTTGTACATAAACACATTTTTATTCCATTCATCTGCTGATGGACATACAAGTTACTTCCAAGATTTACCTATTGTGAGTTGTGCTTCTGTACACATAAGTATGTGCGTATCACTGTAACGTGATGTCCTTAACTCTTCCAGTGGAGAGCCAGAAGAGGTATAGCTGGATCAAATGGAATCTCTACTTTTCAATATTTGAGGAATCCCCATACTGATTTCCATAGTGAATGCACTAGTTCACATTCCCACCAATAGCGTTGAGGGATTTCTTTTTCTCTACTTTGTTGTTTTTTGAGTTCTTTCTGGAGTAAGATGGAATCTCAGTGCTGTTTTGCATTTCTCTAATGGCCAAAGGTGCTGAACACTTTTCAGGTACCCACTGGCCACAAACTCTGCTTCTGCCCCCTGGCCCTGTGGGAGGTCTCTCTCTTCTCCCTTCCCGTCTCCTATTCTTTCTGCAGTGCCAGTGACCTCTCAGCCACCTCCTCCCTGCTCCAGTCTTATTTAAATGATGAGATAAACTTCAGCTCCATCCACCCTCAATGCTCATACTTATGATACTGTTTTCACCAAGCTTCTGTTTCTGCTTTACTGTGGCTGTCAAAGAGGGAAATGGCTACAAGGAAAAGCAAACTCAAAAAATGGACAAATACATACCTCCTATGGCACAGAGGGACCTGTCCCCACGCTTAATCAAATCCTCCACAACCTTTACTCTGAGACCTACAACATTTTTGAGACTTCCTCCCCATTTGTCTCCATGTATCTGACCACTCCTGGCCCTGCTAGAGTTTTTGTTTTGTTGTCTTTTAATATGCTTACAGTTCAACTTTTTTTGTCTTTTTACCTGTTATTTGCTCCTTCAGGACAGAGACTATCCATAAAAGCACTTTACAAGCTACTGTGCTGTGTACAGCAAGAGTCTCATTCTGGAAGCATCTCTGAGCTACTCCTGGTGGAGGGAAGAAGAAAACTAGTTGTCTTGGAGTACACATTGGTGGATTTTATGTGTCAACTTGACTTGGTCATTCAGGGCTTAGCTCTTTGTTCGAAATTCTTCTGGGTGTGTCAGTGGAGGTGTTTCTATCGGTATTGCACCAGTGTGGGTGGGCCTCATGCAATCAGCTGAAGATCTGAGTGGAACAAAAAGGCTCTTGTGGGCAGGTATGGCAGTGCACGCTTGTAATCCCAGCACTCGGGAGGCTGAGGGAGGAGGTTCGTTGCAAGTTCAAGGCCAGCCTAAACTGCATAGGGTGACCCTGTCTCAAAAAGACAAAAAAAAAGGCTCTTACCTGTGAGTATGAGAGAATTTTTCCTGGCCGCTGACCTACCTTCAAACTCAAACTGAAACCAGTTTCTTCTCCTAGATCTCAAGCCAGGCAACCTCCAAACTAGACCCACAACTTAGGCTCTCCTGGGTCTCCAGCTTGCTTAGCTACAGATCTTCAGACTTGTCAGCCTCCATAATTCAGATTATACATCTGTATCTAATTCTACATTTATGTCTACATCTCTATCTTTTATTGGTTCTCCTTTTCTGGAGAACTCTCATTAATATAGAGTAGTATTTCAAAGCCTTGTGTTTAGGGGGAACCTCCTATCCTGAGTATTATCACTGGTGGTCTAGGTAGAAAATATGAGGTAACAATCACATAAGTTAAGAAACAAAGAGGAAGTTTGCATTGATGTTGATGATGGGCGTGAGAAAGACTTGACTATTCACTGGGTCCTGGGTACTGTTCTAAATCCTTTACAGGTATGGGCTAATTTAATCCTTACTATAAAGAGCCTATGTGGTCTACATTCATGCTGAGAGCATTCAAATACAGCATAAGTGAACGAACTCAATCTGAAAGAGTAAAATAAAAATTGAAAGAGATTAACTTTCGGAGTTAGTGGCATTTTCTTATTAAAAGTCTTAATTCTCACTCCAGGGAAACAGTACAATATATGATAATCAGACATTTGCATTTTTGTAGTGGTCTAAAGCTCTCCATTACCAGGGTAATGATTTCAACTCAATTAGATCATGAAGAAGAGGATTATGCAACCTGAGCCCCAAGATGTAAAAGGCTTAGCGACTGTATAAGGAAGAACTAATTGAAGACAAGAAGGAATGTGCAGTGATGTACATTAATGCTGTGGCAAGACCTATTAAAGGTATTTTCTTCTTTTGTGTCTCTGTGTGAGTGCCCTGAGTGCTAGAACTCATCTGTGTGGAAATGAATGATGCGTCCTGACAGTGAATGTGAGACTGAGAGGTTTTGGTCCATGAGTAGCGCACGGTCTAATGTCTGCTGCTGTACTGTTTAGTTAGAATGTAAGTTAAATTCCTGAGCTGATATAAGCCAGTGGATAGACAACAGACTGAATCTGTTACAGTAGAAAAAAGTAATATGCAGTGCATCTTCCAAAATAAGTATTCAGATATAAATTTGGGTAGGGAAATGCTGGTGTATTAATTTTTAGATGCTGTTATTTAACCTGATTTCTTTTCAGGAAATTAAAATTGATGGATTTTAAGGACTCCATAGAAAAGGAAAAGCTGAAGGAAGTATTATGAAATTCTTAGTCTGGTTTGGTTGTTGATTTCTTTCTAGACTCTGGGTATGTACAATAAGTTCTATATAGTTCATTTTATTCTTCATTTTCTTTTAAATTTTTTATTTATTGATCTTTTTTGGTCTTTTTGAGACAGAGTCTCGATATGCAGCTCAGGCTGGCCTTGAGCTCACTTTGTAGCCCAGGCTGGTCTCGAATTCACAATGATCCTCCTGCTTCAGCCTCCTGAGTGCTAGGATTACAAATGTGCACCACCGTGCCCAGCTATTCTTCATTTAAAAAAATAGTAATAACATTATGATTGATTATAGTGTTTCACTTTCCAGATGAGGGCTTACTGATTGGATCATTCCATGAAGCCAGAAAGGTCATTCAGACAAGGTCACGTGACCTAAAATCCACACTCGCCCCTTTGACTTCCCAACTACCCGCTGTACCCCACATACACTGCTTGTCCCTGGGAAGACCAGCTAGGAGAACAGAAATGGAGCGGCATACAGCTGATGTTCAACAAGTAGAATTGAATGGCTGTTTGTTGAAATGACAGTCTCCAGTGTTTCATTTGACAGCCGTTATTGATCACTGTCATCCCTTTTAAGCTAAATTCAGTTCTTTCTACTGTAGAATATATACCCAGATAAAACAATAAAAAGCTGAATGATATCAAAACTAGTCATTTGTATGGGTAACGGATCTGAATTGTTCCATGACATTTGAAGTATGACAAATGTCACCATCTGTGGGACATTCATGTAACCACACACACACACACACACACACACACACACACTTCCAGGCCTAGGCTATTCCCCAATCCAGCCAATGCCGTACGGCAAAGATGCCCGTTCTCCACTGTCCCAGGAGCCTCGACTGGAGAAAGCCGCAATCTGTCTGAAGCTAGCTCCTTGGAGCCTAACAATTTTTTTTCTGCTCTTTTTTTGGTGGAGAACTTGACAGAAGAAGCAGTGACAAGTCCCCAGAGGTAACGCAGAGCCTAGAAGAGCACTCCAAAGCTAGACCTAACCTGCGGACAACTTCTTTGGTCCGTCTTGTAGAAAGTTTCAAAAATTGGGAAATTTTATGTAGGTGTAAGGTTTTGCAGCTGCTCTTGAAATGTCAGAAGATCTGGCAACACTGACCTGACATTTCTGTGTGGCAATCGTTGGCTGGAGTTGAGGGGCAGCTGCCTTTTCAGGGGTCCCCATTTACCTTAGTTCCTAACCTAAATGTTTGGGGTGAGAGTGGGAACTCTGTCAACCTCAACTAATTTATCAATGTGATTGCAGATGACATTGGTTGTGGCAGCGTATAGCATATGTAACGACACTCACAATTGGCCTCTCTTTCTGCCTCCTGTAACAGTAAGCAAACTATTGCCTAGAAGTTCTTATAGGTGGTCGTTATTTCCAATTTGTATATTAAAGTATGTCAATCTTCACAAAAACCCTAGGAGGTATGCAGTATATCTATCTTCAGTTTCAGACGAAAAAACCATGGGGCAGAATTTAAACAACTTGTGCAAGATCATATTGGCAGTAGACAGCAGGGCCGGGAATGGGACCTGGCAGTCTGATGTTAGGTTCTTGGCTTATAGACACAATAGTATGTTTTTATATCCCACATCCACCAATAAAAATCTCATTTTTGCTGGGTGCTAAGGCTCACACCAGCAGTCATAACTACTCAAGAGACTGAGGCAGGATGTCTTGGTTTCTTTTCTCTCTTTGCAAAGACAAAATACCCAATGCCCAAAATTAGGGAAGGAAAGATTTATTTAGCTTATACTTTGTGGAGGTTTCAGTCTATAATCAGCTGGTTCCTAGGCAGGGTGGCATGGCACAGGGGCAACACTTCAAGGCAGCACAGACAGCAAAAGCAGCAAGAGCACAAAGGGGAGAAGAGCAAGCCTCCTTTCCTTCCTTATATTGTAGGCAGGCTACTCCCCCAGCCTGGGGCAGGTAGGTGTAGCACTCATGCAATCTCCATGTCCGCCTCTTGCACTTGCAGGGGCTCAGGATGTTTACAAAGTAAGGACCCTGGCCCCTGTTGAATCACTTTAAAGTTTAAAGTTGAATTTTTAAACTTCTCAAATTGACGCAATGAACAACATCCTAGAGCATCAAGGGCATGTCCTTTTCATCCCAGGATGTAGAACTGCGGAGTTACTTAGTTGAAGCTTCTAGACTCAAGCTGACACAATGTATCAACAACCATAACACAGGAGGATCACTTGAGCCTAGGAGTTTGAGATCACCCTGGGCAACATAGTAAGACTCCAATTCCAAAATTGAAACTAAAAATTCTGTTCCTGAAACTGTCTATTCGTGAAAAGTATTATGGATCCCCAAAGCTGAAGGTTTTGTTTCCTGTGGGATCCCAGACACCTTGTGCTTACTGCTTCTATAGTGACTGTCATCAAACAGCCCTGAAATTATCCTAAACTTCCTGTCTGACTCCGAAAGGAGAATAATTTATCCACCAGTATGTATTATGTAGAAGACATTCACTAGGTGAATTTTAGACCAAAAGAAAAAAAACAAAATATGTGCCTTTTAACTTTCAGTTTACCTCCTTCTTAGAAAAAATTGACATCATGTCAAAATTGGACCAATTCACAGCCTCCTGAGTGGTCTCCTTGCCTCTGGACTTCAATCTTTCCACAAGAACATTCCCCTCTGCAAAAGGTAACATCTTGCTCTCACAGATATTGTGGAAGTTGATTGAGAAAATGCTTACACAGTGCCTTCCACTTAAAAGGTACACACAATGTAATGTCAACTATCGTAAACAAGGTTAGAATATTTCATTGAACATCTTTTTAGCAAAGGTGGTCCCAGACCCAGTGCACATGACTCTGTTCTCATCTTTGGCCTGTGTTTCTTTATCTGGCATAAATGAGCAAGTGCTAGAAGCCACAACATGAATAGGTCTCTGCCCTCAGGAGCAGAATTAGACTTGAGGAATGAAGGTAACGGAGCCACATTACTCATGTTAGCACTTACAAGTATATTATTATGGGGCCCTACTGCAGAGTTTGCATGAATGTAAAAAAAAAAAAAAGGAAAAAGCAAAAAAAAAAAAAATTCTTACTTTCAAATGGGTGTTATGGGTTGATATCCTCAGACTCCTCTGGAATTAGGTCACCTGCCCTATGATGACACTGCCTAGCTAGCATCCAACAGATACATTCAAAATACTTTCTGCCTTCCAAGCTCTGAGTACTGTTCTGTAGCCATTAATGTTTTTGTTTGTTTGTTTGTTTTGTTTTTTTTCTGGTACTGGGAATCGAACTCACGACCTTGCACTTGCCAGGCAGGCACTGTGTCTCTGAGCTAAATCTCCAGCCATCGTAGCCATTAATGTCAATCACTACCTCCTGTCTGAATGTTTTTTGATAACAATAACAATAGCCCACACATCCTGATCTGCAGTGTACCATGCACCCTGTTAAACAATTTATTGTCTCTTCAAATTATCAAAAAATTCAGAGATGTATATGTGATGGTTCTCCCCTCTTCAGAGACGGAGAATGTGCTTGGGCAGCGTTATAACATGCCACGTCCCAGACCATAGCTGTCATCTAGCGAAGACAGATTCAAATCCAGACATCACCACACTTTGGGCTACACTGCCCCTCCCCTGACAGCCCACTGCTTTATTATTAATATGGTGTGGATTTAAATATGCACATTAAATCACTGAAGTAAAAAGATAAAATTTATGGCCTTTATTCAGATTTTCTCTTCTTTCTCACCCACACAGGGAAGGCATGCATCTAGTAGACTCAATAAATACAGCTTAGCATATCTACTATTAAAAATAGAAGGAAGTCTTATTTTTAAAAGACCTTTTCTTCTTTCCGAAGGCTACATGCTTGTGTATTATCTAGAATGACTTACAATAAAACATGAATTTGAATTACATTTTGAAAGTTTTTCAATGGTCCATTCCATTATAAAAATAGCACACACACAGGGTAAAAATAAGAGTATTCCACCCTAAGTACATTTTAACCCTTCCAAAAAAGCTAAAATATTGGCACTCCTTTCAACCAAATCCAAGAAGGAATCCTATGCAGAACTTGCTAGTAAAAGCCTTTTTTTTTTTTTTTTTTTAGTCTTTTTGAAATAGGGTCTCACTGTACAGTTCAGGCTGGCCTTGAGCTCACTTTGTAGCCCAGGCTGGTCTTGAACTCACAATGATCCTCCTGCCTCAGCCTCCCCAGAAGCCTATATTAAAAATCAAAGTGACAGACTAGATAAACAAAAGCCATTTCTAAACATAAATAATAAACAGGAAAATTGAGAGCACACTGGTCTCCCCAACTCCCCATTCAATGATATTGTTCAAATAAATGCCAAGTCTAATGAGAATATGATCACTAACGTGTGTTTAACCATTTGCAAATCTGACCTTTCACAATTTCAAGGTTTTTGGATTGTATAAAAGCTTTCCAAAGTGACCAGCTTCTATTCAGAATGCATTGCTTTATATTTTAAATTTATTAATTGTTATGACATATTTGTGGTACTGGGTATTAAACCCAGGGCCTTGTGCATTCTAAGCAAGTACTGACCACTGAACTATACATCAAGCCCTGGTGCTACATTTTTAGCTAAAAATTATTCTTCCCATTCTATCTGGAAAAGTTTAAACTTTTTTTTTTTTTTTTTTTTTTTT